GAGACAGGAGCAACAGCCTGAACCTGCAGCAAAACAAATTTAGGTTGAAGATTAGGAGGAACTTCCTGACTGTGACAGTTGTCAAGCATTGCAACAGACTACTTAGAGAAGTTGTGGAATCTCCATCCCTGGAAAGTTTCAAGAGCAGGATCTCAAGAGTAACTCTAGATACTGTGCAGTCATTTAGTACTTGTTTATGTAATCAGCGTCTCATGTATATGTGACCAAGGTTTCTTGTATGCAGTTCCACAGCACTATGCTCTTATAAAGAATTTCTGCTATGCAAAATCATCTAATACATATGACGACTCACAGCTGCAGACAGTTAAGCTAGTGTGTTGGCAGCATGGGTTTTTATGTACTTTGCTTCTACCGTGTTGTGATAATCAAAAACACCAAGAATAGTGAGAGATCTTGACCAAAGTTATTTAAAATGATAAAATGCAGACTTCAAAGTTATAATCTACAACTTGGAATTCTAATTTATTATTACATACTATTATAAATAAATGCAACACTATTTTTCAGAAGAACAAGTCCGGATAAACACTTCTGTAAAAGTTACTAGGGATGCTGAGTAAGTAAGTTAACCTGGTAGGAAGAATAAAAGATACAAGCTGACTTATCAGGTGATCTGGTTTTTCTTCTTGGCTTTGCTGACGATCCTTTTAAACTAAGATCTTCCTACTCATCATCTCTCAAGTAGAAGCTTATGCGTTACCAAGTGCAGGACGTCAGAGAACCAATTATTTTGCTAACTCCCCAGAGTCTCTCCTCCAATTTGAGGACCTGTCGTTATTGCAGAGTTAACCTGAGTTACCCATAAACTAAGTCACATCCACACAGAAAGCACCTTAACTCAAGCATCGTAATACTTCTGACTTCAGCTGGCAGGCAAGCCCATCAGGGGACATAGGTTACAGCAAGGATGGCTAGCCTGCAGGACACATCCCATAAGAACCATAGGTAGCCTCTGTGGGTGCCTGTACACGTTTCAGAAGGCTGCTCTGAAGTGCTATACTTAAAGCACATCCCCGCTCTCAGAGACTGTGTAAAAACACTGTGTGTGGCATGCAGCAGATCAAGGAGGGGGCAGCCAGCAAAGCAGCAAACAGGGCGGAAAGCAGAAAAGTAGATCAGGCACAGAGCACAGGTCAGGGAACAAAGCAGAGCAGTAGAACAGGCAGGAGAATGGGATCCAAAAGGCACTCCGGGAGGACATGGGCTGGGGCCCCACTGGGCTACTGTATGAATTAGTATTTGTCAGTTGCTAATCCAATTACTTTTATGCAATAATTCAGTTGCTCTTCTGCAACTAATCTCACTAGAGCTAGGATAACTTGAGAAGAGATAACTCTTCAAATCAAGAAAGCCTAAGAAGCAAGGGGTTCCTCTGGAGCTCTCGTCCATCTCCATGCAAGAGCTTTTTATAAAAAGGTGCAAATTATAAATTTTCCCGATCTTCCTGATGCCCCCTACAAACTAGATGTTTTTTATTTTTTGAGATTTGGTAACAGAATGGAGAACAGAACATAAAACCAGTATTTGAGTAGTAAACACAATCACTGCTATACAGATTGGAGAAATTGTTTTCTCTCAGGTCAAGGCTTTACAAAGATTTATAAACATTATCCTCATTCTATAGATCGGGTAACTTGGGCACAGAAAGATTAAGACATTCTGCTACATATAAATGCCAAGTATTACTGTTTTAGAAACAATTAACACTGCCAAGATCTCCCTGTAGCAGTCCTGCACTAAAAGCTGTCCTTACTTGGCAAATTTGCAACCAGTTAAATGCGTATCTTATCTATTCATCTAATTTTTACAAACATTCTTCCATTCAGGACCAAAATAAACAACCTCTTTGGGATGGCTAAGTTTCCTCAATAGGGCTTTCCCTCACTAGGTTAGCAGGAGAGAGAGAGAATTTTTTAATGGCTATCAAAACTGATCTGAAAAGTAAAACAAGATCATGGATGGAAACACACCTACCTACCTAGGTCAACCCATCTATATAATGGGAATGGCTGCTTGATTATGACCAGTTCAGCCTTCCTGAATCCTAGTTATTTATATGCATAGCTTACTGTCAGTCAAAACATGCATTTTTATTAAAAGATGCATTTTATCTCCACCCCCAAGAATGTATGGAAGTGGGATTTTTTTAAACCGTATGTTTATAAAATATGTACACAACTCAACAGACATCCATTCTATGTTTTTGGTACTCAGTCAAAACTACAACAGCCTGCAACAATATATACACGTAACTGAGAGCCCTACTGTTCTCCATTTTGATGCCTCCTGTCAAAGTACTTCCTGGCTACCAGAAGCCACTTCAGAGAAAGCCTTGCTCAGACCCTGTAGTCTTGGAATGTAGGAGCATGGTCTGTGCAGAATCGCTGGGGGATCTGACTGCCAATGTTGGGCTAAAGTCTTTAAACAAGTCTTTTATGAAAACACTTAACTTACTCCCTTTTATCCCAAAACAACTAAAGTGTGTTAAAGATAACAGGATCAGTATTCAAGCTCCCCCCATAAAGATGGCCATCTTTCAGCATAGTCAAGGCCAAAAGAGATTCTGGTTGGGGCTGACTAAGAAAAGCCCCCTTTTATCAAAGTTTGCCCTATTTTTCTAACACGGAAACATACAGAGGGAGAAGATTTGGCTGAGATACCATGTGAGGTACGCAATGTTAGAACAAGACCGAAGTGTAAGACAAGAATAATGTATGGCAGGGTTGTCCAACTTCCAAGCGACCAGAAGCCATGCGCCCCCAGGGCTGCATGCTCACCCCTGCTGCACCATGCACCTTAGTGTTTACCCCCCACTAAACTGTGTGCCCAGGTGCCCCACTTTGCCCAAAGCTCCCCAGCTGTGGCCTCCCCTAGTGCCACAGGCCATACACAGTTTCCCCTACCCAGAGGCACAGCAACACAGCTCTGTACCCAGGGCAGCTGCAGGACACCCAGGTCAACACCTCATGGCATGATCAGCCACCGCTGTGGTTATGGCTATTTCTGTCCCCCTTCATGACGGCAGCATGACCACTCTCTGTTATGCTATAGCCCCCAGCACTGTTGGCTGTGATACCTAGGGTAGGGAAGAGGCCACAGCTGGACTGATGGCAGGAGCAGAGACTGGATAGGAGTATAAGGGCCTTAATTTAATCCTTTGTGGGCCACCAGATAGACAGCTCTAATATATGGGAAGAAAGGTGCAGATGGCATAGGGAGAGGCCCTCATGTTGTAGACAGAGTGCACATTGTCTTACGTTTTACGTAAATGCCATGCATTTGAATATAATAAAAAACAGAAACCCTCTCTCCCATATAAACCTACCTTCATTGGGCCAGGAGTCCCAAGCCGACCTGCAGTCAGCAGCAGCACCATTGCAACCTCAACAACCAACACATGGAAGAAAGCCAAGCACACAATTCTTTCATATTTTGCTTCCTCTAGACATCAAACCCTAGACTCCTTAGTTAAAGAAGACTTATAAAAAGCATTAATACCCTAAAAGTAACAGAAGCTCCAGTATCCAGCCAGAGTTGATAGGAAAGAGAGAAAAGAGCACTAACACATGCTACTACAGTAGCTTCTGAGGTGAAGATTAACTTCCAATTTATATACACAATTAACTGTCAGGGAAAAAGTCATTTTGTATGGCCAACCAGGGGCTTTCCTCATGTGCACATAAAGCAGACAGAGCTTAAGTTTTTAGACGTATTTTATAAACACTCCAAAATAAAAACTCTTCTTTTGGTAAAATAAAGTGAATTCCACAAAGGCTAATGCAATCCTGCCCAGACTGTATGTACTGTTAGGTAAACCAAATATTTCTAATATGATATTCATATCCAGAGATTTAAAACCTACTCATCCAAGTTGAACAGTAGTGTTTCCTGATCAACACACTGAATGGAACCAAGGAGCCACTTTTTTCATAAGAGTGGAGGAAAGGAAAATAATAGGCTCAGCACCAATGCTCCTTTTATAGGAGAGAACAGAAGAGGAAGTGTCAACAAGTACAAAGTTCACTAGTTGTTTTCAGAAAGGAGAGAAAAGCAGCCCAAAAGGTTGTGTGTGCAAAGAAAGGAAGGAGATTCAGAAGGTTTTTATTCCATTCACTCTACCTCTCCTGTGCATTAAAACACCCCTCCTATCTCAGCTGCTTCTCCTAGACTGAGGGAAGATAACTCTGCTGCTGCTCTCTCACCCTCTGATTCCTTCCATAACACAGCTTACTACATCTCCCTCTCTCTAAGGTCATGCAGACAGTTAATACTCTCCTAGGAGAAACCGTGAACATACAGACGTTCAGAATTTTTCTCAAACCAAAAACAGCAGTTCAACCTGACCCCAGAAGCTCTGATGAATTTCCACGTACAAAGTTGAGTGAACTCCTGCTTGCAGATCAGTCATCCCCATTTTTCAGTGCCTGTCTTCAAACTGTAGGGCTTGAGCCCAAAAAGCAATCCCACAATTTCCTAACTTTCAGCTCTTGCACCTCACTTCCTTTCTGACAGCCCATAAACAGACATAAGCAATATGCAAACTGATTCCTAGAGAAGTGCTCCGTAAGGCAAGGGGCATACATTCTAGGCTGTATTCAAGAAATAAAAAAGAATGTTGACAGCTTTGGTAGACAAGGACATAGTCGCTCATGAGGCTCAAGTTGTTTGAGCAGGACCTTAAAAGTGACCCTAAATAGCAGTGTAGGAATACAGTAGTATGGAGTCTTAATTGTTAAAGGTCACACCATGGGAAGGTACTTAATGTAAAAGTAAAAGCTTATGGGGTTCACATTTAATTTGCAGAATAGAAACTTTGTAGCTCAGCATTCCACACACTATGCGTTTCTTGCACATAGTGTATTTATGATGCTGGCACCCAGATGCAACTCAACGCTCCAAAAAGAAATCTGTATCATTCCAAGAATTATTATTCTACTCTCCCTACAAATCCAAAATTAAAATTTAAGGTTTAGACTTACCTGTAACATACCAACTATTTCCACTTTATTAAAAAAGATAAAGGAGTGAAGCGTTGACAGCATATTTTCCTCAAACACAGAGGGAGTGGGTAGAACCATATCTTGAATATACTGTACTCTGTATGTTTGATGTATTTTTTGTTTCAGCTCTGGATCAGAAATAGGAATCACCTCTTTAAATTTTGCTGTTTTAGTCAGAAATTCCCTGTGTTTTCGTGACTGTGATAAAGAAGGATCATATTCTAGGCATCCAATTACGTCCATTATACATTCCTCAGAAAACATGACTTCAAAAAGTGCAGTTCTATTCAAAAGGAAGATTCCCTTAATAATTTCATACAAGTGGTGCAGTCCTTCAATGTTCTCCAAGTCCTCACACACGTGAAAAATTTCTAAGAGCTTTTTAATATAGCCCTCATTTTCCAGTGCTAGTGCGAGTTTTTCACGACGCAACGGTGAAGGCAGTGAAGATGCCACAAGTTCTGCAATTTCTTCTAGCCGACTTAAATCACAAGATGGTAATTCTAGACCAGGTGATGACATATCATCAAAGCGTTCTTCCTCAGATTCATCTACAAGGTCCTGAGTAATATCTACTGAAGGGTCTTTTCCTTGAACCTATGAAAACAAGGTGTTTTAACAAACATATTTTTAATTTTCAGACTTTTTTAATATATAGCTAAAAAGTTGTATTTCCAGGAGGAAGGCAAATTACCCTTTTTACACTCCTTGACAGCAAAATGATTTTAATAAAAAAAACTGATTAGGACACTAATCTGGACTGTCTACATGTTTTTGCTCTGGGGAGTCAAAATAAATAAAAGGACAAATAGAAGAGCTGTTAAGAATACAATGCAATTTACCATATTTTCTAACATACCACCTCTCCCTCCCCAAATAAACAGGCACCTTGTGTTTAGGAAATGGAATGCAGAAAAACAGATTTTTTTCCAGTCATGCCTGACTGCATGACATGGAGCAAGTAAGTCCTCCTGGAAACAGGTATCCAGGAACTGTGGTATCCCAAGAGGCAGCCTAGGTAAGGCAGTATGGAACTTCCTGGTATAGCATGACAGCAACAAAGCTAGGCCCAGATCCTTGCAAAGGCAGTTATTACTCGGCTATAAATAGTTTGCTGTATAAGTCCATGTCAAAAATAAAGTTTTCTATCAAAACAAGTCTCATCCATATACTACAGACTGGATGCAGCAGCTCACTCCCCCTCAGCCAGCTCGGTGGCTCTTCAGCCAAAACCTATTGCTTAACCTTCTCATTGGCACTGGGAAACACTAGACACTGCCCCTGCTGTTTGCAGGTTGAGAAGTGGCAAGCATCTTGGCAAACAAGAATCAATGGCTGCCTATACACGAGCAGGGAGGCTGCTCTGACACACTGTAATTCCAGTGCATTGGAGCAGACTTGATTAATCTGCTGGAACGTGGCAATTACCCTGCTCTGCGTGTAGAGTATCAGCATCCCCATGCTTCAAAATGGTTGCGGGGACACTTTACCTAAAGCTTGTCAACCCCCTCCCCACCCCAGCACATGTATAAATGCCCAATGTCTGCTTACTCTATTCCAGCAAAGAAAAATCAGTTTCCCCGCTTATGACACACACCTCAATTTTGGAGGGCTGATTTCGAGGGAAAGAGCACATGAAGTACGCTCAATGCACTTTTTACTGTCAGGGTGAGACATACAGTAGGAGAGACCAAGCACCTTTCTTAACGAAGAAGCATTACTTAAAAAGACATTTTCTTTCATAAATAACATGACTGAGATATTAAGATAGGCTTTTATTTTCAAACTTACCTGACATATTTTTTCCCATATTTCATCACATCCTGCTTTTTCTTGAAAGCTAAGTGCCAAGTCATAATTTTCAGCTTCAGACCACACAATCAAAGTGTCCTTGAAAGAGATGAAGAAGCATCTTTCAGATGAGTTATATTTCAGATAAAACAGATTTTAATAAAGCTTAGTGGCTTATCCATCCAAACAAGACAGCACTAACACCAAAATTTGAAAGGAAACACACAATACAGATTCATATATATTTTAAAACTGTATGGACAGATCCTTTGGGAGAATATTTGAAAAAAAAATATGCAAACTGAAGTATTTTAAACGTAACTTATGTGATTTAGAAACTGTATCAGAATACTATAGATCTGACAGGTTATCTTCAGAATATAATTATTCTTCTTCCCTCCATTAATAAAAACCTAAAAAGTACAATTGATTAATTAAATTAAGTGGACTTCAATGAAATTGTTCATAACATACAAAAATAAATACATCCATAAGTCTTAGGTAGAATCCAAGTCCAGTCACCTTCTAGATTTTTGTCATCCCCCATAAAATGCTATGCTGATATAGTGCCAGATACTAAAGAAAAATACTTCTAAAAGGCCTTTTAACTGAAACCAACTACAAAACTCCCAATAAACACAGAGGTAACAGACTATTTATTTGCACAATATATTTCAACAGCATGTTCTAATACCCTCAAAGTTTTAAGTCTGAAAGCATGAAATTTCCGCCACTTTGTAAAGCTGGTTAAAGACACCAAGTTTCATTTACCACTTACAAACAAACCTGCCTAACGGGACTGGAATTCATAAAAAAATCAATGTATTGCATGCAGGAGTGATAGAAAGAAAGACACACTAGGAAACTGAGCAGCAGTAGGGTGCATTTTCAGAGAATGTATCAACTCACTCTTTAAGTAGGGCTAACAATACATGTCAATTTTAACAGGATTCTGACAGTTCCATTTTCAGGCTAAGTGCAATTTACTTTATTTACTCTAGAACAATTAGTTTCATCTTAGGAACAACAAAATATTTAGGAATTACTTTTTCTTTTATTGTAAAGTTTACCCCAATGATGAATTGAAATGTTATTCATATAATCTAATAACAAAAGACAAGCTTTGTGGTCAAATACAAAACACAGTATATAACAAATAAAGACTTGGATTTTTCTGCTTACATTCAAAACTTTGACTGGAATTAGACAATGTTGCACTTCCGGGCAACATTATGTATAACCCGCATCCTCTGGAATAATTAACTTCTGAACTAGTTCCTTTTAAAACCATAAATTTAAACAAAGTGAAAAGTTAGAAGAATCATTTATAGAATGAAAAGTGTCAATTTTATTTTTGTTTACTTCTACCATAAAGCAGATGGTTATCATGAAAGGAAAGCTGACATGGATTTTCATAGATTTCATAGACATTTGGGCTGGAAGGGACCCCAGAGGCATCAATAATGACTCCAAGATCCTTTTCTTCCTCTGTACTGATGAGAAGGGAGTTCCCCAGCCTGTAGGTATGGTGCTGGTTCTTCCTCCCCAGGTGCATCACCTTGCACTCGACGGTGTTGAAACCCATCCTGTTCTCATCCACCCACCCCTGTAACCTGTCTAGGTCCGATTGCAGCCTATTCCTCCCTTCTAGCATGCCCACATCCCCCATCTTAGTGTCATCAGCAAAATTTGAACAGGTTGCTTTTTACCCCCTCGTCCAAGTCACCAATGAAGATGTTGAACAGTGAGGGCCCAAGGACTGAGCCCTGCGGAACCCCACTGCCCACATCCCTCCAGGTCGAAAATGACCCATCCAACACCACTCTCTGGGTGCAGCCCTCCAGCCAGTTAGTGACCCATTTGACTGTGTAGGTGTCGACACCACAGTCCCCTAGTTTTTTAATGAGAATGGGGTGAGACAGTGTTGAAGGCCTTCCTAAATTCCAGAAAGACTATGTCCACTGCTACCCCTGCGTCTAAGGATTTTGTGACCTGGTCCTCTACAGAATAGGTCACCAATTCGAACACTCTCCTAACAAAAGATTGGCACTACTTATATTGAAAGTTTCTGTTATATATACTTCACCAGGACCCAGAAACCCTATCAAGATCAGGTCTCCATTATGCTTAGCTTTGGTTTACTTACAAGATTAGCTTCATCTTAAATAGTAACAACTTAAACTTCAGGAGTCTACATAAAAATCTAATTTAAAAACACATAGCTGGATTGCATAATTAGCTATTTCAAAACAAAGCTGAAAGATAAGACGTATTTTCCTCTGTACCAAAGACATGACCAGTAAGATGGGTCGAGAAGTGACTCACAACAAGGAGGAAACAAATAAGCAGAATAAACATAACATTCACATAATTTAATGGTCAACCTGAAATGTATATATTTGCTTGATTTTTAGAGAAAAATATAGCAGGCCAAGAGGCTTTAATTTAGCATTTCACAGGTATGGACGGTCTTTCTGGCCAAGATGCATCTTATTGAGTACTTCCTAATTTTCAGGTAAGTTCAGATGATATCATCCTTCTCCACCTTTCCCAAACATTCAGTTTCCAAAGTGCTCCATTTGTGAAAACTACTAAATGCTCTGAATAAGGGAACATCTTAAAAGCCACTCTGTTAAAGCTTATAAAAGGACATTCAATTTCCCACACTGCTGTCCTCCAACTTCAAGTGCTATATGTCTGGCTGCTTTCAAATGTTGTCACTTACAGATTTAATATTATAAAATACATTTGTGTCTGCTCAAAATAGCAGTATAATGGCTTATTCTAGAATTATATGGAACTCTAGTAAGAGAATATTCAGCTATATAGCTATACCAGCCCACAATACGTGTGGAAAAGGAGAAACCTTTTCTGGTTGTTAGATCAGTGGTTCTCAACCTTTATTTCATCAGGATCCGTTTGCAAAGGTCAATGGCCAGTCCCAACCTAGTGCCCCTTACTCCCAACCTGCTGCTCCCTCCCTCTAAGCCCCAGCCCCGCATAGTGTGTGGGGAAGGGGATGGGTGGAAGGTGGGCACTGGGGGCCCCAGTAACCCCTTGCAGGCTGGAACTCTGCTAGCCTTCAAGGGGAAAGCCTCTATTTCCCATCTTTTCCTCCTTTAAAGAAGAATCCATTTTTAAAATTTGTTTGCGACCCTTGCATATATTGTTGCAACCCACTTTTGCATCACAATCCACAGGCTGAAAAATTCTGTGTTAGATAACATGATACTCAGTCAACCTTTACAGTTTTTGCTAAAAGTAGACAGATATTAGTCCAGTTTCATTTTTTATTCTTACAAGATTTGTGCATAGAAGATGCAATATACTTGTAAAATGTGATTAATTTACCCTCTAAAAGCTGTAAAGCTAGGTTAAGATCCAGTGCATTAAGGTAGATCTTATGTCCTTCAAACAGATTAAGTACCTTGTGAGGTAAGTCACTGAGGGAGAAGTGGCTGTTTGATGTCAAATGTACTGTACTTAAGAGATCAAATGCATACTACCTTTCATTCAGTCTGTCTTTTTGCTTTTATTTGGAAACAGGTTTGTACTCGTCAGATCCAGAATTTCTTGATGCCTTCAGATGGGGTAAATTTGCTATTCTGCATCCCTCAACTGCTTTGAAAATGGGACTAACAACAGTTTCTAACTACAACATAAATTTGCAGTAAGTCCAAACAGGTAATTTATACAAGTTTGCTTTCCTCTTTCCCTTTCCAAGAATGAAAAAGTGTATACACACATTTATGGATGTATTACTGAGAAAGATGCAGGTTTTGCATTCTGCCATTTTCTGTAAATTCTTCAGTTTGGGGTTACCCAAGGCAACTCTGGCTCAGTTCCCCAAGAAGGCATTTACTTTGTGGTTGGGATTCTTAATATCCCCAAAGGAACGTTGTAATCACATACTATTCTGACCACACACAAATCAGTGGTGGAGACAGACCTCTCAATGAGCTGGTCTAAAATCAGCATCTCAATGAAAGTAGTCAATGAAGGATCTCATCACCCATTTCATGAGAGTCCTTATTAATTTTAACTCAAATGACCATGTTGCTGTGTTGCTTCAGGAATGTTCTTGGTACTGTACAAGGAACTGCAGTTACATAGCTCAAACCATAGCTAGGGGACATGAGCCAAATCAGGGGGAACTGATAACCCACTAATGAGAGATTTTTATATGCAACAAACCACAATCTCCCCACCTCAATTTTTCAACATATATTAAAGACTTCTTAGCAAGATATTTTCCAAACACGCAGGGGGAGATTATCAACAAGCTGCTGTTGTGCAATGCACTCTCTTACTCTGAAATCGCGCATGTTTGCCAGCTGCTTTAAATATTGAGAAATTTTGGTGATAGTGCCAGGTGGATGCATCAACAACTACTTTGTCCTACACAAGTTTTCCTTTTTTTTGAGGTAATCAAAATAGATCTGTTCTCTTTCACATCCTCCTTTATTAGTTGTTCAGCTGGAATAAAATAAGAATCCCAACTACAAATTATTCCTATATCTCTTCAAGTGAAGCTGTGTTTTTAATATTAAATTTACTACTTATCTACTTACATCCTTATTTTACTCTTAAGAACATATGGCTTCATTTACTATACATCTTTTGATAGTCATTCAAAACAAAGCATAATACTGAACTGCTGGGCTGAATATTGGTAACCATATTATATCCATGTTAAAAGTGCATAGTATTAATTTTTAAAGCACTATGTACCGATATAGGCCACAGACACATTTCAGATTTCCTTCTTAAAATTTAGCATTGCATGTGTGTTCTTAAACTCAATATTTTAAAAGTTACTTTGCTGTAGTTGGATATGGCACTCCTTTGGACATTAAAGTGAAGGGAACTGAACTGAGACAGATGTTCAGGGTCACTAAAGAGGTGGGGGGGGTTTGGGGGGTTTTTTTGTGGGAGGGGGTGTTAAAGCAAGTTTTAAGGTCTTTTGGTAGGGATGTGATCAGTCTCAATTTCTCCCAACCCAACAAAAATTCAGTATTACCCCAAAGTAGCTTATTAGCTTGCAGAAAAAGCACGTGTCTAATGTTTGCATTATTTTGTCAGCGCTCTTAAAGCCTGCA